CAAAAAAAAAAAAAAAAAAACAAACAAAAAACCCAAGTCTGAAAACGCTGATTTTTAACCCAACATATCCCTGCTCTTTGCCCATTTTCCAAATTCTCCTTTGTCGGACTCGTCTTGGGGCCTGTGAACAGGAGCCCCTTTCCAGGCTTGCCCAGCACGAGCGCGCATCATCCTACGCGCTTCCTCGTGTGCAGGCCACTTGCTTTCCTCCTTCTCGGATCTGCCCATGTTTGCCTTCATGACGGACTTTCTGATTTAAAAGGCAACGATTGATAACAGTAAAGAACGATAATGACTTAAAAAAAAACCCAATCATCAGACGTCTTGGGAGAGGCCCAACTGCAGACAGAACAGTGTGTTTGCTCCTTGCTGGCAGGTGCAGGGGGTAACCAGCAGGGCCTGAGGAACTCCTGGGCTGAAGCATCTGCCCCATCCAGATCTCGATTCTGGTGGTGGTTATACAACTGTATGTATTTGGCAAAACTCATAGAACTATACTTCAAAAAGAACAAATTTTGCTGCATGTAAATTTTATCTCAATTTAAAAAAAGAAACAATCTTCAGGCAAATCTAAATTGAGGGACATTCTATAAAATAACTGGCCTGATGCTTCAAAATGCCAATGTCATAAAAAACAAAGACTGAGAAACTGTTCCAAGATAAAGGAAACTAAAGAGATCTAACAACTAAACCCCAAATGTGGTAAAAGATTCAGTCCTGGTCTGAAAAAAATGGGTATGAAGGACAGAATTGGGACGGTGAGTGAATCTGCAATATTGATTATAGATTGGATAACAGGATTGGATCAAAGTTGCATTTCCTGATTTTGATTACTGTGGCTAGGTACACATCTCCTTGCCTTAGGAGATACATAGTAAAGTATTTACGGGGTATGACATAGGCAAATATACTCTCAAATGGGTCAGAACACACACACACACAAATCAAATGTGGAAAAATGCTAAACAGTTAGAATTTGGGTGAAGAAGAGAAGGCAGCTCTTTGAGTTATTCTTGTAACTTTTCCAAAGCTGTTCTTTCAAGATTAAAAAACTTAAGTGACATGATGGCTTAATATATAACATCAATCTTTTTTTGTTTTTTATTTTTTTAGACGGAGTCTCGCTCTGTCACCAGGCTGGAGTGCAACGGCACGATCTCAGCACACTGCAAGCTCCGCCTACCGGGTTCAAGCAATTCCCCTGCCTCAGCCTCCCGAGTAGCTGGGATTACAAGCAACCACCACCATGCCCAGCTAGTTTTTTGTATTTTAGTAGAGACAGGATTTCACCATGTTGGCCAGGATGGTCTTGATCTCCTGACCTCGTGATCTGCCCACCTCGGCCTCCCAAAGTGCTGGGATTACAGACATGAGCGAGCGTGCCCCACCTCAACACCAACCTATATTTTAAATCTACCTAGGGATGAGGGACAGATTCTCCAGGCAAGAGGAGAAAAATGCCAGGAAGGGCTGGTAGGTGAGATCCAGTGGAGAGGTTTACAAATTCTTTAAAAAATCAGACCCCCATCTTCAGGTGGAACCAGAACCCAATGCCATATTCAGATCAGAGCAGAGCAGAGCTGCTCGCTGGCCCCCTTCTCCTGCCCTGTGAGCAGTGGGCACTCCCCCGGTGACACCTGCCTCTGCTCTTTTGCAGCTGGGAGTGCTGAGGCTCAGAGACTATGGGACTTATCCAAGGTCATCCAGAGACTCAGAGCAGCACTGAACTAGGGCGTTTGATCCCAACTCTGCCATCTAGGTGCCCTGCCCCAGGCCGGCCTGGCCTGGCAGGCTGCTTTTCTGGGCCCGTGCCCCGCCCCCACTCACCATCCGTGTTCTCCAGTACCGTGCTGTGCTTCACAAAGGCCACGTCCCCTGCCCCTTCCGCCAGGCACCTGTGGAGAAGCTGTGGGTCTGGATGGGCTGAGCCCCTGGCCCCTGCCCATCTTCCACCTCTGGAGGCCTGGCTCAGGCTGTAGGGGTGGCCATGATCGGCACTGGCTTTCCAGTCGTGTGGTCTGGGTTCCAGCTCCCTGGCTGGTTGGCTGTGTGGCTTTGCGGCTTTGCTGAGTTGTGGCCCCTTCCTAGTCCCTATCACCTGTAAAGTGGGGGCGGGAAAGCAGCTCCATCGGGCTGCTCTGACGATGAGAGGCTCTTTATAACCCAGTACAGACCCTCTCCAGCCTGGCTCAGGCCTGTAGGGAGCAGGCACTCCCAGGGCAGCTGCTGTTATAATACCAGCAGCCTTGACTCTCAGGGTGTTGGTTTTGGTTATTTTGTTTTTAGAGATAAGGTCTCGCCGTGTCGCCCAGGCTGGGGTGCACTGGCACAATCATAGCTCATGGCAGCTTTGACCTCTTGGGCTCAAGTGATCATCCTGCCTCTGCCTCCAAAGTAGCTGGGAGGACAGGTGTGTGCCACCATGTTGGGCTAATTTTCAGGGTGTTTTGAAAAGCATTCTACCCTGAGGCAGGGGATTGGACTAGAAGGCCTTTTCATGCCATGCCGCAGGATCCTGAGTGGGAGGGACCATTGACTTGTACATGTTCTGTTGATGTCACTGCCTAGTGTTGGAGGCAGGTGAGACCTGCTGGGCAAAGAGGCTGCTTAGGTCCCCACAGGCAGAAAACACGCAGGGATTAGAGCAGGTTGGGGAGGACGACATCAGGAGAGGGCTCTGAGGCTCCAGGAGAGTCAGAGAGAATGCGTGCGTGGCCAAGGACGCGGGGCAGGGGAGGGGCAAGGCTCTGCCGCTCAGAGGGGCTGAGTACTGTTTCCTCTCTCTATGCCAAAAACTGCATCCACTCAGATCACATCTGGAGCGTGGGACACCAGCAGGCTTCCCCGCTCCAGGTGGAAACGTGAGGCAGCTAAAAGAACCCCAAAAACCTCCCTTCCAGTCCTGCTCAGCACGTTTCCTCCTCTGCAGGCAGACGGAATTGGACCACGAACTGTTAGAGACTCTCTTGTATCCACGGAAGGATTATCCAAGGTGCCAGCCCCAACCAGCAGCAGAGACAGGCCGGCCCCAAGTGTCAAGCCACAGTCCCCCAACCCCCTGTCCCTGCTGGTCTGAGAACGGGGACATGGGAGTGGTCAAAAGGCTGTTTTTTCCATTTTCTTCTCTCCGAGCCCTCACCTCACTAAATATACCAAACATGTTGATTTTATGAGCAAATCCAGTTTGGCATATTCCGGTTGGATGTTTTTAAACTAACCAGGGCACAGAACTATATAAAGCGCGCTTTGATGAGAGGCAGCCAACACCGCCACTTCCCCTCCACGGCCTCTCTGGGCAAAGGTGCTTTTCCCCAGCATCCGTGGCCGTAGCGCCTCCGCCTGCCCGCACGACTCAGCTCCTCCCCGCCCGGCCCTCCCCGCCCCCGCTCCACTCACCGGAAGGCCCCGCTGTAGTCGTAGTATCTCTCCAGGGGGCTCTTGTCACACACCCCTTCCCCAGAGCTGTCACCCCTGCAGAGGCGACAGAGGGACTCAGAGTAACGGGTCTCTCCTGCCCCCGGGACGCAGCTGCCCCCAAAATAGTCGCTGACAGCTGTGGGAAGGAGGCAGAGAGGTCACTCAGAGCTTTCTTCAGAGCCAAGTTAAAACCCCAGGGTCAGCGGGGGGGCCGGGCCCTGCAGGGTCTCATCTGGACTCTGCTGAGAACGGTTCCACCTTCCAGCTTCAGTCTGAGCAAAACTGGGGAGCCGGACCCCGGACCCGATCCGTGACCCCAAACCGGGTCCCCCAAGGGAGCAGTGAGCACTGGGGAGCGACTGTCATTTAAAAGTGGTTCGGGGGAACTACAAGTTTCCTCCTAAATGACCACACGGGATAACTAAGCATCAACTAGATGCTCTTCTCATCGTGGCTTTCATTTCCAACTCAGCGAGGTGTGACTGATGACAGAGGGGAGATAAAGACAGACACTTCTCACAGCACAGGGAGGGAGGCAAACGCCCGGCGGCTGGCCTCGTGGGGGACGAGGTCAGGGTCTGCTGCCCTGCATGGTTCTTCAGGCCCGGCCGGCACCAAAACTCACAAATATTTATCCTGTGCCACACGAGAAGGCCCTGCTGCCGGCACCCAAGCCCATCGGGCCACACTCATCACCAGCCAGACTGAGCTTTTCCAGAGTAAGCCCTCTTCCTGGTCTTCTTTCTGTGACCTCCCAGAGGAGTAGGTGTGTAATAAATATGCCAAGTTCCTGGCGAGCCACCCACGCTGGGAGGCCACCAGCTGGGAGGGTGCGGCTTCCAGGCTCTCGTGGGTTTACACGGCTGGTTGGGCTGATGAGCCACTTGGGGGCTTTCTGGGTGCAAGTCAACACCTTGTTTGGGTCCTGAAAAAACAGCATTTCTGGTCCTGTAAAGCTGAGGACACATTTCTAGACAGCGTGGGAAGCACTCCTGGGGGATTCACTGCCTCCCACTCATGGGCTGGGCCTGGGCCTGACCGTCATGTGGGGCACCGTGAGGGGTGAGCAAGAATGGTGCCCACAGGGGCCAAGCAAGCAGGAAGTCACGTGGCGGCGCGCAGGGCCGGCGGCAGAGTGGACGGTGCGGGGAGGCGCGGAGGAGGTTGCTGCGCCTTCCAGGGATGAAGAATGGCGGTGAGGCTGGAGGGAGGCTGCCCAGTGAAGGGACCAGCATGGAAAGGAAAGCATCGCAAGGAAAGGAGCGGGAGGCCTGAGGACCCTCCTGCCCAGCCCAAAGCCCTCACCTTTGAGTACATCGCAGCCCATCACCGAGAGGCGGCCGCTCTCCACCAGGTAGCCCACGGGCACGTTCCAGCCCACTGTGCGATTGATGCCCGTGTGGCAGGACTTCACGCCTTTCAGGGTGTTGATGGTCACTTGGGAGCTCCTCTTGACCACAGCCACGGCGTAATAGGAGGTGCCAACCTCTAGGAGAGGAGGGGAGCGGGTGAGGGCAGCAGGGAGAGGCCTCAAGGGAGGCTGCACCAGCACCCTGCCGGGGCCAGCTGTGGGAGAGGTGTGTGCCCGGAGCATGGCTGTACATCATGGATGTGTGCATAGCATTCTCGTTACCAAGAAAGCAAGTGGGCTTAATCCACATGTACTACGAGACCCTGCCCTCTAGCCTCTTGAGGTGGATACGATCCTGAGATACTGATGTATTCACTGAGTTCCCCCTCTTCCTAAGCAGCTGGTGCTTAGCTGGTTCACATTTGCTCACATCAGGGGAGTTATTTAGCTGGACAGAAAGCAGAAGAAGCCAGCAAGTCCTTGCTTTCCAAAAGCCTAGGCCCCTAGGAGAACTTGGAGGGTTTGAGGGAACGGTATCAGGGCCATGGGAAGAAGGGTGGCTGGGACGAGCAGGGGAGCAGGCGAGAGGCTTCCCCAGATGAGGAGAGGCGATTTCCTGGTGCTGAGGGGGTTGGAGGAGAGTGAGACGAGGCAGAGACAGAGAGACAGAGAGACCTAGCAACGTGGTCCCAAGTCACTCACGACCCTCAAGGCTGCAGGGTGCGTGTGGTGGGCCAGAGCTCTGCAGCCTTGTGAAATGTTCCCCTGCGCCAAGGTGGCTCCAAGGGACAGTTCAGGCAAAACACAGATGACGTAGCTATGGGAACTGATGACCAGAGGGTCTCCCACTGCACGAGCGCACACACACAGGCATACACGCACGCACAAACTGCCGGGTGGTGTGGGAGGCCATATCAGAATGAAGTTGGGTTCTAGAACATAAAGTCAGTGTTCCTTCTTGCCCACCAGGGTCTGCCCCCACCAACCTAAGTAGCTTCATCTGGTGCCATCCTCTGACTCACCCACCTTGTTTCTTTCCCATTCCCTGGACCGCCTGAGATCGTTGCGGGGCTCAGCTTGCCCGTCGCCTCTGCAGAGCACTGTCCTGCCTGCTCTATTTCAGTGGGTTTCTCTGCAACCCTCGTTTGCTCTGTCCTGCCCTTTCCTTTTCCTCACGGCACCCCCACACGTGTCACTGTAGAGTTGTGTGTGTTTACTCTGCTCTGTGAGGGCAGGAAGGTCTCTTTGTTTACTGCTCCATGCTCAGACCAGCAGGTGGCAGGTGCTTAGCAGAGGTATGGAGTTAATTAAAGAGGAAGAGGTGCGGGGCCTGGGAGCAGAGCTAGTTCTGGCTGATGGGTGTGCAGGGTTGGACTGTGCTGTGTGTCATTGGATGGTCATTAATTCACCAAGGAACCGGCCAGTGCTTTCTCCAAGCGAGACGCTGTGTGGAGTTCCAGAGGATAGACACAGGGGAAGACTGGACCCTCCTCTGGGGACTAGCGAGACTGAGCAGGCAGAGGCTTGCAGAGGCCGTGGGGGTGCAGGCAAGAGGCCCCGCTCCAGGGAGGGAGGGGCTCACGGAGCACCTTGGAGGAGGTGACAGTTGCGCTGGACTGTGATGGAGGCCAGGCGCCGGCCAAGCAGAGGTGGCGGGGGAGACGCAGGAGCAGGCTGAGCTGGAGGCAGGTCCCGTGTGTGATGCGGGCACTGGGCAAAGGAACTCACGCTTTCCAGCACGTACCACATCAGGTGGACACACGGCCTGGCTCATTGAGTCTGGGTGACAGTGCAGGTGTTACTCTCCCCATTTTACAGTCCGGGAAGTGGCGGTTGGCCAAGGTCACAGAAGTCATGGGAAGGGGAAGCGCTGGGTCTGTTGAGCTGTGCGGCTGCCAGGCAGCACCTCCCTACCCAGAGCCAAGCTTCTGACAGGGAGGCCCTGAGTGTGCAGGTGGCTCAGCATGAAGGACACCTTGCTCACCCCAGGCAGTTACACACACAGCACCACGCCCGGCACCGCACCAGGCCCCGGGCAGCACCATGCCCGGCACAGCACCACGCCCGGCACTGCACCACGCCTGGCACCGCACCAGGCCCCGGGCAGCACCACGCCCGGCACCGCACCACGCCCGGCACAGCACCACGCCCGGCACCGCACCAGGCCTGGGGCAGCACCACGCCCGGCACCGCACCACGCCCGGCACCGCACCAGGCCTGGGGCACCCGCAGTAAGAACTGAGTGGGCACAGGCTAGGGGGCTGCAGGGCTCCCTGTGGGGAAGAGCAGACTTGGGGCAGCCCTCTGTGTCCCGAGCTCTTGCCCCTGGGGAATTTCAGAGAGACTTAGGGCGTTCGTCTGGCTGGGACTCCAGGACTGCTCTGTGGACAGGGCTGATGGTCAGCTCAGGCCAGGCCCAGCAAGGGCAGCCTGGGGAGCACAGCCCATCCTCTCTCCTCCCACTGCACCCTCCTACCTTGATCATACACTTCGCCCACCACGGGCTTCAGGCCATGCTCCTTTCCCGCCTCATAGATGGCTCCTCCATCCAGAGTGATGGCGTCAGCCTCCTGGGCCTGCAAGGAAACGTGGCTCAGCCAAGCCTGGCCCAGCCGGCCTGTTCAGCAAAGAACCTGGGACACCAACCAGATGGCCTGGGGCCCCACCCCAAGGCCCGGAGGGCTGTGCTGTTCTTATCTGGCCCTGGAGTCCAACCAGGGCTCAGGGCTCTCCCCCTTTCCCAGGCCAAGGATTCACCTTGTTTTCCTAATAATGTTATTTAAAAGAATACTAATCATTAGTTTTGCAGGACTCAGATATCCTAGTAAAAAAATCAGATAGTAGAAAACGGCAGGCAGTGAAAAGTGAGTCTCCCTCGCTTTCTGTCCCTCCACCCTGCGCCTCTACCGCCACCCTAGGTTTTCCAGCTTTTTTTCTCTAAGACGGTCTGTGCTAGCGGTTTCTGCCCTCACATGGAGCCTGACCCACAGCCTTGGCCCCACTGTGGGCCTATGATTGGATGAGGTCTTGGGGGCATACTGGGGGCAGAGCTGGAATGAAAAGCCAGCTCTCTCTGCGCCCACCCGGGAGGGACGCCACTCCCTCATGGTGCCTCTGAGGACTGTCCGTGTCATTCAGCCGGTCTCAGCAGACCTGCCTTCCTACCCCATACTCACCCACCTGGGAGTCCAGCCCCCGCTCCTCCTTCCCAGAAACCACACAAGCCCCATTCTGGAAAGCCCCATGGCAAAATGAGCAAGCAGCCACCTGCGGCCACTGAGGGGTCACCACCATCTGGGCCCCCTGGCAGGGGCCTTGTGGAAGGGAAGCCTCTCAGGCGCCTTTCCTTGCTGGCGCCCCTCTGAGCAGCGGGTCCTCCTGAGGCTCCCACCTCCTGGCCTGGGCCCCGCGGGGGGCGAGTTGGCCTCATTGCCGGGGAGACTCGGGAGATCCTATCGGCTGGGCCCGGCAGGGCAGGGTCGGCTCCTTTCCGGTGAATGAGGCTATTGTGTGCTCCCTCCTGAGTCAGAGCCCTGTTTTCCGGCAGGGCGGAACGGAGAGGACTCACCGCGATGAGCTGGATGCAGTGGTCAGGCGAGGTGCCCTGGACGCAGAGGAGGGAGGGCTGGATGCCCGCTTCCCGGAAGGCCTTGCTCATGTTGCTGCACTTCTGCTGCTCCGGGTCTGAGGTGACGCACCACCGCACCTCCATGCCACCGAGCACTGCGGGCAGGGAACTGTGAGGCCCAGCTCCCCCACCAAGCCCAGTCCCGGCCCACCATGGAGGGGGGCTCCAGCAGTTCTGTGTCAGCCCATCCGCCTGGAGAGCCAGTCCTCTACGGCCGCCCTGCCCTCCCACAGGCACAGAGACAGGGGAAGGGCTGGTATTCCTGTGCTCAGGGCCTCTCTGACCAGGGGCACGGCTGCTGGCAAATGGAACGGCCCAGAACCCGGCCCTTTACAGAGGTGTGGGAAGGTCTACAGGTCGCTTCTCAGCTACCCCTACCTGGTGGGAGCACTGGCTAGGGAGTCTCGGCAGGCCCTGGAAGTGGAAGCTCCTTCCCTTCTCCAGGCCTCCCAAAGAGCGAGCTCGTGTGGGTTCCCTCACCCAGCAGTGTCCCTGGGCCTTTCTTATGAAGTGTGACAGGAGAGTGAGGTGAGGGGGCTGTGGGTGGACTGCCCTCCGGGAGCCCTGCACCCTCGGGGAGTGTCTGCGATTACGCTGGCTGCAAACCCACCCTCGGTGGGCACAGTGCCAGGCCCTGCCAAGGGAAGGCAGCAGGCACGGAGGGGAGGCTGAGGACCCATCAGGGTGGGTTCAAGCCTCTCGGAGCCTGCTTCATCTTCCGATAAAGCAGATAAAAAGCCCCACCTTCTGTGTTGAAAGGAAACGCACACAGAGAGCCAAGACACACAGATCCTCAGGGGACCTCTGCTTATGCCTCAGGATCTGACCGGGTCAGGGTCCCCGAGAGCTCCAGGCTAGGGCCCCAGAGGAAGGGGTGCTGGAGCCCCTCGGGGTTGATGACTTTCAGGCCTCAGCTCCTCTGCCAATCACCCTGCCCCAGCCAAGCACTGCCAGAGGCCTGTGCTGGAGGGAAACGCATGACTCCCCTTGCAACCAGGTCACCCTCCTGGGCCAGCCCCACCAGTCCCAGGGCCGAGACTGCAGCTTCCTGCACAGCCCTCCCCTCCCCACTCCCGGCGGCGCCCTGGAAAGTCGAATTGGCCTCCCCTCCGCAGCGCCCCAAGCTCCCGGGCGGGAAACGGCAAAGTTCAGACGGCGGGGGGTCGTGGCTTCACTGTTTGCATCGATGAGTGCGTCGCCTGCGGCCACAGCGGTGCCGCGAGCTCCATCCCCCCGGCGGTGGCCGCCTGCGACCCCCGCGAGCCGCTCCCCGAGGTCCCGCCTCCCGTCCCACCATCCCGGGCCCGACTCCCTGGGGCACCGACGCGAGGGGACCCAGCCTCCGCCCCCACCTTGCATGAGCAAGGCCCCCTCGGGCGGACCCCGCGCCCCTCCGGGTCAGTCCCTCTGAGTCTTCTCCCGCGGGGTCGGGGCAAAGAGCCGCTCTGGCCCCCACAGTCGTCCTGAGTTCCCGCGCCCGTCAGGAGGGGCCGTCCTCGGGGAGCTCCTCTCCACATCCGCGGCCTCCCCGCCACGCCTCGGCCCGCGCTTTTCCCTGGAGCGCCGGACGTTTTCAAGGCCCGGCTCAAGGCCGCCTCCTCCAAGAAGCCTTCCAGACATCCCCGTCTGCGTCTGCGCTTCGCTGCTAGTTCCCTCCGCCGTCCTCACTCCACCCCGAGCCCCTGCGTCCCCTCCTCACTCCCCCAGAGCCGCGGGCTCAGGCACATTTCCAGGCCCAGGACCCGCCCGCCTTCGGCGCTCACGGCGGGGCCTCACCGGTGCGCAGAGCCAGGAGCAGCCACAGGGCCCGGCTCGGGCCCCGCATGGCGCCGTCGGGGCTGGCTGGGGCCGGGCTGGGGCTGGGTCCAGGTCCGAGGGAGTCAGCAGCCGCCGGGCTTCCTCCCCGCTGCCTCCTCACGCTGGCCCGAGCTCCTTAAGTGCGGCCGGGAGTTCCCGGGCGGAATCCACGCCCCTGGGGCGCAGGTCGCCCCCCGCCGGGCCCGGACCGCACACCTGGGCTGCCCCGGCGCGCCCCCTGCTGGAGCGCGGCCTGACGCTCGGGCCCGGGCACAGCGGTTCCGGCCTCTTCGTCTGCATCCCAGAGATGCTCCCCTCCTCTTGTCCTAAAAGACTCCAAACACCACGTCTAACTGGAGAGAGAAAAGCTCAGGTGTGGAGGGAAGAAGAGGTCAGAATGCCAGGGTCGGGGCTGGAGGTAGCCGGGAGGTCATCTCATTCCCGCAGCAGCTCCCTCCCAACGCACCTGCGCAGAGATCTAGGGATACAGAGGAGCCCCGGCCCACTGCCCGGCGAGCGAACAGCTACCGGGGGCATCTCGGCCTAGCCGACGGCCTCTCCTCGGGCCTAGAGACGGGAGGTGACTCGGTCAGGCATCCAGTCAGTGGCAGGTGAGAAGAGGACCGGAGAGGAATTGGAGGAAGCAGAAAAGGAGAAACAGGCAGAGAAGGGGAAGAAGAGTGAAGAAGGTGAGGGAGGAAAGGGTGGGTTGACCATATTTCTAGGACAGCGGTTCTCAGCGTGGTCCCTAGGCCAGCAACGTGAGCATCACCCTGGAACTTGTTGGAAATCCAAGTGCTCAGGCCCCACCTCCGACACTGAATCGACAGCTCTGGGGCCGGGGCCCACAATCTGTTTTTATTTTGGGGCACTGCAAATGTTGAGAACCACTGTTCCGGGCAGGCAACAGCTTCGCTCCCCATGTGGCTGGGGATGTGGGGAACGAACTGAAGACGTTGTTAGTCATCTGCCTCCATTTAGGTCTCACCTGTGTCATCAGCCCCTCGTGAGTCCTCAGAAATGATGTCTGTCTCTCTGACACGGGTAAGTAAAACAGTGAGAGAGGACAGCCCTGTGAGTCTGTCTGTCCTTGAGCTCGCTCTGTGCCCTGGGGAAGGAAACCCTCCCTCCTGCTGTTGGGCCATGAAGCTACTGCTTGTCACACACTGGATCCGGGGAAGGAAGATAGGCTGGGCTTCAGGAGACTCGAGCTCCACTTTTTAAAAACCAACGACTTACGGACCTTGGGCAAGTCCATTGCCCTCTCTGGGCTTGTTCCCCGTATGTAAAAGGTAGGTCAGGACGGCCCTGGCACGCCCACTCCCCTCTCCTGTCTGCTCTGGAGAGCGCAGGCGCTGTGGAAGCCGTTTCTCCATCCCCTGCAGGTGGGTCCCTTCTTCCCAGTTCGCACAAAGGTGCCGAATGGACTAGCAGGCAGCCCTGCCAGAGGGGCTCACGGGTTGTCCTAAGAAGGTAGAATAAACAGAAGTGTTCTTAACAAGCCTCATCCTCCTGACCATGAGGATAGAAAGGCTCATTTGGCACATTCCAGGAGGCACCAGGTTCCTGGCAGCATCTTTATTGACTAAGTCCTTCCTTTGGCAAAACTCCAAGTGACACTGATAGGGAGTGAGAACGACCATAACCTAAGCGGTCTGCTGAGCTCTTTCACAATGAGGCTCTTCCCTTATCTCTTGAGTGTCAGTCACCTGTGACTCATCAGTGAACTTGCTGCCTCTGGGTTCTCGGAGATTCTGCATGGGGCCCATTTGCCCAGGGTTGGCTGAACGTGTATCACCTTTGTGGAATGGGGAACTCTGCCTCAGCTTGAGCCGGGATTCTGCCATTTCTGGGGTCCAGACATACCTGAGTGTGCCAGAGAAATGGGTGTGATGTAATGAGAGTAATAAACCAGTAGTTTAAGCCACAAACAGCCTTCTGGAGGAGCAGAAGCTGAGGTTAGTTTGGTCCCCATTCTAGACTCATATTGAGGTTAGAGGGAGAGCACACAAACTAAAGGACCTTGTTTCACTAACACTTTGATAAGATTTTGGGGCCTAAGCAGTTCTGCCTGACTCCCTGGCCCTACCCCATAGTATGAAATACAAGCAGCTCTTCTCCACTCTTGCCAAAGACACAGCTCTGGCTCTCCAAGGATTCAGAGTGCCCAGAAGCATCGAGCTTGCTTGTCAGGGAATTGAGGAACAGTAGATCCCATGGAGGGAATGCACTACAGGCAGCCTCAGAAAGAGGGGGCCTTTGACAGGAGGTTGAGGAGGTCCGTCAGCAGGTAGTGGCTAATAAGCCAGCAAAAGGTGAACTCCTTTACCCAAAATCTTAGGAAAAAAATATTTTTCAACAAATCATAATTTCTATTTGTTACTTCTATGGCCCACAATGTCTTTAAGAACAAGCCAAATAGTTTTCATTCTGGAGAACACTTGGGAGGCTAGTGTGCCCTGAGAAAGCTGGGGTGTGAGCACCTGCAGTAGTGTGATGTCAGAGGATGTCATGCTCTTGCTGACTGGTTGGGATGTGAGCACCTGCAGTAGTGTGATGTCAGAGGATGTCACGCTCTTGCTGACTCGTTTGGGTGTGAACACCTGCAGTAGTGTGATGATATCAGAGGATGTTACACTCTTGCTGACTGGTTGGGGTGTGAGCACCTGCAGTAGTGTGATGATGTCAGAGGATGTTACACTCTTGCTGACTGGTTGGGGTGTGAGCACCTGCAGTAGTGATATCAGAGGATGTTATGCTCTTGCTGAATGGTTGGGGTGTGAGCACCTGCAGTAGTGTGATGATGTCAGAGGATGTTATGCTCTTGCTGACTGGTTGGGGTGTGAGATGTGAGCACCTGCAGTAGTGTGATATCAGAAGACATTACACTCTTGCTGACTTGTTGGGTGTGAGCACCTGCAGTAGTGTGATGATGTCAGAGGATGTTATGCTCTTTTGACTGGTTGGGTGTGAGCACCTGCAGTAGTGTGATGATGTCAGAGGATCAGAGGATGTTATGCTCTTGCTGACTGGTTGGGGTGTGAGCACCTGAGTTGGTTCACCTACCCCCAAAACAGTCAGCAGAGAGTGTAAGACATCCTCTGATATCCATCACACTAGCTGCAGGTGCCTCCACCACCAACCAGTCGCAGTAGTGGTACATATGCCCTCGATTTTATCAGTCACCCTAACTGCAGCGTGCTCACACCCAACCAGTCAGCACAGAGCAATAACACTCTCTCGACATCACCTACTGGCAGTGCTCAACCCAATCCAGTCAGCAAGAGCATAACATCCTCTGACAATCGGTACACACTACTGCAGGTGCTTCAACACCCACCAGCAGCAGGAGAGTGTAAACACTTTCT